ATTATCATCATTATTATCATCATTATTATCATCATCATTATCATCATCATCATTATTATCATCATTATTTGTTGGAGGTGGGGACTGTTAGAAACCCATTCATCTTAGCTGAGGATGTGTACCTCTGCCTCTAGATGGCAGTATACCCAAAGGCAAAGAATCACAATCACTGAGTTTAACATGCTCTGAGTGTGTGTGTGTGTGTGTGTGTGTGTGCGCGCGTGCACCTACCAGCCAGAGCCACAGAGGGCGTGCTGGGCTGCCCGTAGCCATAGCGATTAACAGCAATGACCCTGAACTCGTAACTGATCCCTGACCTCAGGCGTTCCATTGGCACAGAGACAGACCTGGTGTTGGGTGGGAGGGGCCTGATGAAGGTATCCCAGACTCCTTCATCTGGGGAGGGGGAAGAAATGTCAGAAAGTCCAACCCAACAATAAGGACAGGAACCAACGTGATTTAAATGTCAGTGTTCAGAAAACAACAACAACAACAACAACAACAACAACAACAACAACAACAACAACCACCGTACTGGACAGTTTCTGTTGTTGATGGTGAGGTGTTTTACTATGGTCATCTGTACAGTCTATGGTCTATAGTCTACAGACTTGACTCTCCAGAGTCAGTCAGTCTAAGGACAGGTTTAAACAGTGTGTCGTCAGCGTTACCTGATGGACGAGCTTCAATGACATATCCAGTCACAGGGGCGGCGCCCATGTCCCCCTCAGACCAGTGGATGTTGAGAACAGAGGACGTCTTGGTGATGGACATTTCCACAGGAGAGCTAGGAGTGCCTGTTGACACACACACACACACACACACACCCCTTCAGGGTCAGTGTTTGTTCTCACGGTCATTTTCACGTTATCAAAAGTCAGATTTATTTTCCGTACCGTCCACGGGCTGAGCGGTCAGGTTGGCCTGCATGGACGGTCCATAACTGACGGTTAGGGCCTGGACACTGAATGTATACGTTGCTCCGAGGACCAGGTCCCGCACCTTGAGCCACCTCTGCCAGCTGCCCTTCACCTCCACCGTCACCACTTTGGTGATTCCTGATCAACCAGGTCATGAGAAACGTCAGTCTGTCTGTGTGTGTGTGTGTGTGTGTGTGTCAGCTGTGTGTGTGTGTGTGTGCTTTTACCCTGTGTGGCAGCTGTGGGCTGGTAGATGACTCTGTAGCCCTCCAACTGTCCATTAGGGGTGAGGGGAGCCCCCCAGGACACGTTGACACTCCCCCCCGTCACCTCAGAGAAGGACAGGTAGCTGGGCTGACTGGGGGCTGCAGACAATGACAGACAGAAGGACAGACAGACAGACAGACAGATGGAAGGAAGAAGAAGAACTCATGAAATCCGGGCTCCACGAGGTTCACTCTGGGGTCCGTCTCCGGCCGTGTTGAAGGCGGTCAGTGTGACGAGGTAGGCTGTGTAACTGGTCAGGTTGGTGAGGGTGACCCTGGTGTCGGGGACAAAGACCACCGTGACCTTCTCCGTCTGGTTCTTCCTGTCTCGCTCCCAGTAGTGAATCTGCGACACAGGAAGTGGTTTCTGTCAACAACGTCTGCTCAAGTCACCACAGACTTTATCAGCTCCAGTCCCATCTCTGGATAAATGGCTGAGAGTCCAGGAGAAAACACAGCAGAGCGGCGGGGGGGGGGGGGGGGGGGTTTTTATTTCTTGTCCTCCAGAGACGCTGCAAACACAGCTGCCTACAGAATCCATTTACAGAAAAGTTGTTACACACATCCAATGAAACTGGAGTGTGTGTGTGTGTGTGTGTGTGTGTGTGTAATTTACTCAGAACTGTAAACCAGGGAAAAGGTCAGAGTGTTTCACTGACAGACTCCTATTTGTTGAAGAACAAGTTTAAAATTGATGTCTAAAAAAAGACACTCTCCAAACAGTAGGAACGGAGGAAAAAATAAGAGGAAAAGTCGCTCGGTGTAAAAACCCACAGTACGAAGGTTTAGCTTCATCAAACCGTTAGATTTACACCGTGATATAAATAAGGTAAATATATATATATATGTTATCATAAACTGTATATTATATTACAATTATATTTATTTAACAAAAGTCTATTCCTGTGGATACAAAAACCTCAGCGCTTCAACAACAACAGAACGTGAGGGGAAACTGCTGAGTCATCTCTTTGACATCTCACTGTGAACACTGTAATAAAGCCAATAAATGACCCGGTACCGATTACACCACGGCATTAAAAAGGTACTGTTATGTAATATTCACAAAAACCAGTGTCATTAATGAAGCCCAGGGGCAGTTCTATAAACTGTGGTCAGCAGGATGCTGCTCACAGCCCGGTCCACTCCACGTCTTATGCATCAGTATTTTCAGCTGAGGTCATGATGTTTTGGTTTTTTTTTCTTTGAAAAGCTGCTGTTCTCTGTGGTTAACTGCTGATTAAAGACATGTTGAGGTTTGTTTACAAATAAAACCTTAGCTTTTAATCACATCCCAGTGTCGTGGACACCATCTGGGAGCAGAGAAGAAGAAGAAGAAGAAGAAGAACAACACCACAGGGAACAGACTGTGCCTCACTGCTGACCCCTGGCAGAGACCAAAGGAACAACAGTTGATCAAAATAAGCTTATCCTCTCCATCTTCACTGCTCTGATCAGTGGGTTTCAGGAACAGCTGCTGCTGCTGCTGCTGCTGTTTCTGTTGCTGCTGTTTCTGCTGCTGCTGCTGCTGCTGTTACTGTTACTGCTGCTGCTGCCCCGTCTCCTGCCCTGCAGTACCCAGCTGCCTCTCTCTCTCTCTCTCTCTCTGTGATTCTCTCCACATGTGCAGCCGTCAGTTGTCAGTCAGTCGTCAGTGCAGTCACATTAACTGCCCTGTTGAAGACTCCTTCTTTTACCCCTGCTGCCTCCTGGGGTCAGATCACCTGCCTCCACCTCTACCTGCCCCCACAGTGACAGGAGACCAGCTCAGACAGAACCAGGACTTGAACACCGTCACCTCTGATCCACAGTCTCTGTGGTGAAGTCAGAGAATCTCTACATTTTCATCACCTTTTCCTCCTGACTATATTTCATGTCTCTTGTCTTAATCTTCTTAACTCCTAATACCCCCCCTCTGCCCCCCCTCCATTGTCCAACCATCTCAGTCCTCCTCTGTAATCCCTGATCACTTCTGCGTCTCGTTCCTCCACTTAACAAATACTCCTCTTCCTCTCCTCTTCCCTCCTCTTCTCTTCCTCTCCTCCTGCAGAGATCAATGTGTCTGAGGCAGGAGAGATAACCTTGAAGTACTGAGAGCCGGGGGTGAGACGGGGGAGTCCAGGGAGGGAGACGGTCACAGGAGTGATACTGAAACCATTAAAGGATATTCAGATTCTCCCTCCAACTTAATTCTCTCTGTCGTTGCTCGTCTCTGCGGGGCAACTTCATGGTGCGGCAGAGCCAATCCCCTCCAAGACAGAGGGAGGGGGCGGGGCTTTTATCATCTGCAGACAGAAGCAGCTGAATTCTCTGACCTCTGACCCCAGTCTTTGTTTTCTTTTCAAATACATGGTGTCATGAAGAACACTCTCGTCACCATGATCTGGAAATATTTTCCAGGACTTTTCCAGGTCCTTGACAGACCCTGACACTTGGCCCCGCCCTCCTCATGTTCCTGAAACTCAAACCTTGACTCTTGGGTCTGGGAACTGTGTGTGTGTGAATCTTGGGTCTGGCAACTGTGTGTGTGTGTTTGTGTGTGAGACCTTATATCCTTGGATGAGTCCATTTTGGGTCTCAACAGGGGGGGTGTCCCAGGTGACTTCCAGGACGGAGGGGGACAGCGGTGACGTCTGGATGGACTGGGGGGCGACGGACGGAGCTGCAGGAAAAGAAAAACCAAACGTTTGTTTAACGACGTTGATGTCGAGAGCGTTGTGTGTTAGGCTGTAGCTCAAGCCGTGGGATGTGGGTGATGATGTGTACGGTCTGTGTGTTATAGTAAGATGTCACTGACGTGCACTTTATTTTTCAATTAGACTCGGCCTGAGGCAGTTCCCTGTTTCTCCACTGCTCCACAGCAGTTGTTCACCTGAGGCCACAGAAGGACCTTCTCACCCTGTTTCATCATCTCCCTGCAGCACACTCCCCCTGCCCCCCCCCCCCCCCCCCCCCCCCCCCCCCCCCCCCCCCCCTATCATTGGGACACACACACACTCTTGTTTTTCTGTTTTGTGAGCACTTCACACTCATATAAAACACACTCTCTCCGTACATTAAATACACATCCATCATCTTAACACACACACACACTGACACACAGGCTGAGGTAGAACATCATGGGGACACACTGACACACAGGCTGAGGTAGAACCCATCCGTGGGAGCTGACTGGTACAGACTGGTACAGATCTGTTCACGTGTGTCTCATGTTTGGACTCTCTCCAGTTTTGCCTCTGGGGCCGTTGAGGAGCACAGAGGACACTGTGCCCCCCCCCCAGCACCTGGACTCCCCAGAGACTCTCCCTGCGATGCTTTTCATCAACCCGCGGTCCATTTGGGACACGTCCTCTCGACGCCACTTTCTGCTCAGTGACAGACGGCAGGAGAGCCGCGCGCTCTCCCTCCACTGCTGCACCGCAAGGTCATGTACTGAGTGCAGTACTGGTACACGCTGTCTCCTACTGCCTACTCTCCAAAAATACCCCGACGACGCTGCCACCTGACCACGGAGTCAGGAGAAATCCAAATGAGCCGCAGGTTTGATGATTGACAGGTGGAATAGACTTAAACTGTGTCATAAAACTGACTTTTCTCTTGACAAATGCTGTCATGTACTATTGTCTGAGTGTGTGTGTGTGTGTGTGTGTGTGTGTGTGTGTGTGTGTGAGTGTCAGTGTGTGAGGAAGATAAATGTACTCTCCTGTCTGTCTAATGGATTCATAGATCGACTCTGCAGGAAGTTAAACAGGGGCTGGACCTGCAGCATCAAACAGGTGACCTTGTGAGGCAGAACGCACACACACACACACACACTCACACACACTCTTCTCCTAATAGAGAACACCAACAAGTGTATCAGAGTCAGTGCCAGTCGAGGGGAACCAGGAGGTGTGGACACGACAACGCAACAAAGAGCAGAGGATGATGGGAGAAGCTCAGCAGACCAGACGAGTCGAGCACCAAAAAAAAAACAACAAAAAACAACAAAAAACAGACACAAACTTTATTCAACGCTGGATATCGGTGCAGCAGGGACACGGTTTTAGTGATGATGTATTTTTCTACTGCAGTTCTGTGACAGTTTATTAACAAAGTCAGCAGTTTGGAGGTATTTTAGGACAGGAACAAGTCTGACTGTAAAAATGTTCCGTCCTGATACGAGACATTTACTCAAACACCTGAAGACGCTCTCTCTTCCTGGTCTGACGTCGGCCCCTCACAGATTAGATTAAACGACTTGCCTGCTTCTCCGACAGACACCTCCACTGGACTGGACGGTGGGCTCTCTCCAACGATGTTGTAACTCGTCATGACGATCTGATAACGTTTGAATCTCTTCAACTCTGCAAAGAAAAGAAATGTTGGCGTTTATGTAAAAAAACAAAACAAATCTAAACCTCTGTTCACGGATCTGTAATTTCTTTTCCTTACGCGTCAGGTCGAAGTCTCTCAGCGAGGCGCCGCTGACCGTCTTGAAGGTGCTCTGACCTTGAGAAGAGTCAGGGAAACGAGGGTGAAGAGTAAATAAAAAAAAACATTTCACCTTCAACAATAAAAGGTAGGATTATAAAATAAAAAATAAAATGACTGGTAAAAACTGCTGTGTTTCAAAACTCTTTATGGATTTGGGGGGAGAGAGGGGGGGGCAGGGGGGGTGTAGAGAATTAAAAAATAAAATACAGTTTATAAAAATATGATATCACTACAAAGTAATAATACAACATGGGTGTTAAAGTACCCTGCAGTACCATGTAGTACTCCCTGGTGGAACATCAAAGAACTCTGAAAATCATCGTTGATAAATTAAAGAAAAATGAACAAATGATCAGTCAGTGGGTCCACATCCTGTGTCTGTAGTCACTGTGTCTGTAGTCACTGCGTCTGTAGTCACTGCGTCTGTAGTCACTGCGTCTGTGTTTTCACCAGACACAGGCAGTGACATTGATTTTATTTTTCGTTTTAATCAAAGATTACAGTGAGAAACAAACACAGCCTGGTCGAACAGGTCGTGTTTATAATCTCATAAAAATGTTCTGAGAACAGGATGGAGTTGGACTCCAGCCAGGGCCGCAGCACCAACATCCTGCTACAGTTCAAGGTAAAAAAAAGAATTTAAAAAAAAAGAGCAGTTAAATCTGTGTTTATTGAAATGATGGACCTCCTGGTTTATCAGGGTTTTTATTTTTGAATCTAAAACGATTCTTTTCTGGACCAATATTTTCTGTATTTATGTCTTTGTGTAGTTTGTGGAGACGGACTTTTATTTTTTCTGGAGGTCGTGGACTGACAAAATAATACCTGGATTCATAGGCGCCGATTCTGTGGGTGCTTCGGGGTCGGAGCCCCCCACAGTGGGGCCCCCCACAGTGAACCCCCCCCACAGTGAGGCCCCCCACA